AAACAAAGATGAACCAACAAACCAAACCAAAGCAATCAAAACACGCTGAAAGCTAAAATGCACCTGTTTAGAAATTCCAATTGCCGAGAGCTTTTCAAATCTTTGCTATATTTTAGTATTTTATCGATAACTGAAAATGGTACACTTTCGCAAGTTTTTTGGGTGTCTATGTTTAGAAAAAATTTCTAGAATGAAAAACAGAAACGTGTTTACATGTAGCTGGTTTCAGCTATTCTAAAGTTGAAAAACTAAAATTGTGCATTTCCGCAAAAAAAAAATTGTGACATATACTTTGCTTTTTTTCTCAGGTAAGATTTCGGCAGACGATGACAGAAGAAAAAGCAGATGACGTCCCATACCAATCTATTTATTTTAATAAAAAAAAAGTTTTCTAATAATTTTAAGTTATCTATGGATGGGTTTAAATATAACCGTCATGCGTCGTCTTCTTCTTTAACCAGTTTTATTGGTTTATTTAAAATGACAGATCGTATTTCAGTTTTATTGTTTGACGGAACGATGAATGACAAACTGACGCCGATGCGTATGAACTCGCCTTTAGGTTTTTGATGTTTGTCATAGTCTTGCCAAATTATAGGTTTTAATTTTGTACAACTTTTGTCAACACCCTGCGTTTTGAAGATGATGCATTATGATTCGTATTATTACGTATGATTTGTGTTTTTTAAAGTCAAGTGGAGGAAAAATCGAGTGAAAATTAACTGTAGAACCCAGAGCACACTTTATGATTAATAGTCGCTGCCCAGGCAGAAAGTCTTATACGGATACACCAATAAAGTTACTATCAATAAAGTTCGTATACCATCTCGTCGTAGAAAAGTACTGAATATATGGTAGAAGGACTATATTAAACCCATACTAAAAACTGGAGTAGCTGTAAATATCGACATCACACGATAGGTAAATAATGGATTTTAGTACTGCAGAAAATAATGTCAAAAGGTACTGGTTTAAAAAATTAAGATTAAAGTTAATTAATCAACCTTAAGGTATAAAATTTGGTAAGTGTTATTATTAATAAAATAGTTTGTTTCATTTATGTTGTTTTATTTATTCCTGTGAATATTACAAATTTGTATTTGTACATAAGTTATATTGATAAATATAATCATAAATGGAAGTTTCCATAAAGCTTGAAAGTAAGAAATAGTTCTTTTTATATTTTTGGTAGCGTGGTGTCTTGTTTTTGTTTGTTTTGTATTACCAAACTGTTTTTTATTAAATAAAATAACTCGATTACATTTTTCAGTTTTATACAGTTTTTTTTCACAATATTTTGAAGTTACTTGTCAGTCAAATTCTTAAATACATAAATTAATTTCGTGTTATGTGTTCCAGTTGTTCAACTTATTTCTTTGTAAAGTAAAATAAACTACTTGAAATTAAATGACAGACACATCTATCACTGTCAAGGATCTTCTCGTTGGACAGACTATACTATTCGAAAAGGCTTCCTAAATACTAAATAAACCAATAAATATTTCTTTGCATATCTGATTTCAGCTAAACGAAAGTTGAGCCGTTTTATTTATTGTCTGAATATCCACGGTAAATAAAGAACAGCGTTTGTGTGAGGAAAACTTCTTCGTATTCCGAATATACTCACATGCATGTTGAGCCGTTTATATTTTACTAACGTACCAGCGACTTCGTTTGCGTGAATTAATCATTTGTAATGGTGATGATAGCAAAGCAAGAATTTCCATTAACATACGAACTGGATAAAATTTTCCATTTATGTTAACATGAGAAAAAACAATATGGCGATATTATTATATAACTGGTAATATTTGAGGGTAGTTTCATCTCGTTAAAATTTGATCTTCAAAACTGTTTGCCAAAAATGCTTTTTTCGTCAAGGGTTTAAGCAGAATCGGTTGCTATGAACATTCAACTTTTTGGAACACCCTGTAATGATTTTTTTTAAAATAAATATGTAAAAAGAAACCAAATAAATTAAGCTTGTCCAAAGCTGTTTTCCTGAAAGACTAACCGTTTTTTAAATAACAAATATTGTAATATTATATTTGAGGGGCGTTTTCACCTTCTGGGAATTTGAGATTCGAGAAATCCCTCCTTATCGAACCTCTACACCCCACAGTCAGTTTGTCGAAAATCAGCTTTAAAACGTCAAGCAGTTTAAGCAGAATCGTGATTATTCAATGGTCATATTTTTATGAAACAATCTTTGTATAAATTTATAAAAATCTTAAAATATGTAAAACAACAAAATGAAATATACGTGTTTAAGAGTTTTTCCGAAAAACTCATCGGTTTAAATAAAAATATTTTAATATTTGAGGGATAGTTTCAATCTCTTAGAATTGAGAGTTACGAAAAATCCTCTTATCGAACCTCTTACACTCTAAAGTCAATCTGTTTTCCAAAAATCAGCTTTTACATCAAGCGCTTTAAGCAGAATCGTGATTAATCAATGACCAGATTTTTGAAACACCCTGTATGCATTTTTAAAAAATCTTAAAATATGAAGAAAACAAAATAAAATATACGTGTTTAAGCGTTTTTTTCGAAACTTGACTGTTTTTTAAATAAAAAATATTGTAATATTTGAGGGATGGTTTCACCTCCATAGAATTCGAGTTTCAAAATCCCTTCTTATCGAACCTCAACACCCTAGAATCAAACTGTATGCTAAAATTGAGCCTCTACGTTGACTGGTTTGAGAAAATCGTGATTAATCATCAAATACTTAAGCATTTTATATATTAGTATAGATTTACAAAAATTTCATCAGAACTAAAATCATGTAACAATATCAAACCCATATCAAATATATACCTAATATAATAATTTTTTGTAGGAATGCCAAATAGAAAAAAAAATATGAAAATTCCTATTTATTTTTCAAAAGTATCTTGCAATTTTTTTTGCATTTATGAAGTCACACTCTGTATCAAGTGATATGCCAGTTCACTATAATTATTTCTAAAATAGTTAACTTTACGTTCTAACTTCTAACTATTATTTTCCCTCTACGGTTCTATTGTGATCAAATTATTATTTTTGCATGACAATATGGTGGAGGTAATTTATATTTGGTGGAAAAGAATCAATGTAATCAATTCTTCTGGACGAATTGGCGAAGGCTGTATTTTTAAAAAATATTTTTATTTAATTACAAATCATAATTTATTATCTACACTCTAGTGTAGAACCTCTAAGTTCACTTGTTATTTTAAATAGTATACAAACATACATACATACTCGCCATTACTCGCTGACGAGTATTCGACACGCATCCAAAGATGGTCACGCAAGGCGTTTTCATTCATGAGCTTTTCTGTGACTGAAAAGCCCGGATACGTGATGTGTTATTTGCTCATCGTACTCCGGACATTCAAAATCTCATTGCTTTGTTGCCTCTTTTTACTTTTGGTTGTCGCTGTTAACCGAGTTTACAATTCTTCGCCATTGAGTTCTATTGTTAATTGCTTCTTGCTAATGATTCTGCACACATCCCCTTTAAGTTTTCGTGAAAATGTCCTTATGCCTTTTGAGTTGTACACCCAGTTTCCTCTTACCGTCTACAAGCTCACCGTAAAGCAGAGATTTTGGTATGCGGTTTTCTGCATTCTGCATACGACCAGCCCATCTTAAGCGGAATTTTGTAACCATAACTTCAATACTATCGCAGTTAGCTTTTTCAGGGACCCATACGTTTGAGACATGATGGAACCACCGGCTTCTTAAGAGTTGTCTAAGGTGTTTCTGTTGCAACTTGTTTAATGCGTCCATGTGTCGGCGGTACGGCATCCAGGTTTCGCTCCCATATAACATGGTGGGGATTATAATTGCTCGGTACACTGCAAGTTTTGTTTTTACACTCAAGTCATGATTGTAGAAAACCCTGTCTTTAATTTCCAGAATGCCTTTGGAGGCTAATCCTGTGTTGAATTTCAGAGTCGATATTGGCCTTTTCCGAAATCAAACTGCCGAGGTACTGCTAAATTCCGCCATATTCCAATAGTTCTTCTCCGATTTTTATAGCATTGTTATGATCTTCTGGGGGAGTGCACATGATTTTGGTTTTGTCGATGTTTAGCTTAAGACCCAAAGCCTCTTATGCCCAGGTATATGTGTTCAACATTTCTTGTAATTGTTGTAACGTGTTTGCAACTAGAGCGCAGTCATCAGCGTATTGAAGTTCTGTGTTGAATTTTGTACGTGTTTTTGCCCTTAGTCTTTTTATGTTGAACAGACCGCCGTCATATCTGTATCTAATACCCAACCCTCTCTCCTGCAGTTTGCTGTCCACTATAATGGAGAGCGCTGCCATAAATATGTTGAATAGGAGAGGCGCTAAGACACATCCCTGCCTAACTCCTGTATTTGTCCGGAAGGGATCGCTCAGTGATCCATGATGTGACACTCTTGACTGGTTGTTGTTTAATAGTATATAAAAATAGTATAGTTAAATAGTATATGAATCAAAAGTCATACATACATTTAATCTATTAAATAAGATAATATTCCGATTTTTTTTTCATTAAATTGAGAGTTTCAACAACTGGCACTTTTGTGGAATCTCCCGTTTTAATGTAAAATATATCATACCAGCGACATACTATCAAAAAAAAGCGTCACAGAGGGCTGAGGAATCACAATCGGTAATAATTTTTGCGAGGTTAAGCACTAGACGTCATTTGCCAGCTGGCTTTAAGAAGGTTAATTTATTTTTATATTGAGTAAAAAAGATGTTTTTTGGAAATAGATTTTATGTGTCTTTTTATAATCTTTCTGTAATTGTGCTATTTTTTGACAAGTTTCACATCAGTTTTTAGTAATTGACGTCTAGAAATTGACCTCGCCAAAATGATTTTCATTCCTCAGCCGTCTTTGACGTGGTTTTCCATCATACAGTATAACCTAACTCGACAAAAGTAGACAAAGAAATTCATTTGTCATTCATAAACAATCAAAACTTTTTGACAATAACATTGACGTTTCTTAACATGAACATGACGGAAAAACATTTTATCGTAACAGTAACCGTTCTAGAGGGTAGACATTATATTTGGAAGGATATGAGTTCGGCAGTTATAGTAAACATCGACAACAAAAAGAAATGCACTGATATAGTCCGAGATACTGATTGTCCCTTTTACAATGAAGTAAAATTTATTCCCATTACTTTAAATCATTACAAAACTCATACAAAACTGACATTCCATATTTTATAGTACTTTGTGTTTGAGTTTTACACAACTGAAGAAAAGTTTATTGAAAAGTACCTTACAATCACAGTGATTCAACCTAAGTGTTTTTTTAGAAAACGGAAAATTCTTGGAAACATTAAATTGGATATTGCCACAATTTTAAAACAAAAAGGTTTGGTCTGTAATATTTTAATTTTTTATGGTATACATTTGTTCTTTTTTTTACTTTAAACTTAGATTGTCAATTTTATCATAAATGGGCAGCCTTATGTTCACCTAAATTGGAGGTTTATAGTGGACCAACTGGGTATTTGAAGTTGGATATTTGTGTTTTATCTAAGGGTCAATCTGCCAAGTTACCTTTGGGTGTTGTTAATGATAATATAGAAGGGTAAGTTTATCAGTTTGATTATTGAGACTGCTTTTTTCACAAATAACCCTATTTTATAGGGTATTGTAATAAGAGGTGTTGATAACGCAGCATTAAAATCTAGAATGCCACTTTTAGATAATGATTTACTAGTAAAAAGTAGTTTCATTATTTTTTTGTTTGGAAATAGGCTGCACATTAGGATGAGTCAAAAAAATCGACTATTTTTCCCCTTTATACTCTAAAAAAAAGGTTGGTAGACACCTCAAGAAAATATTCGGCAAGTATGACCTCTTAATTTTAATAGGAAGGTCCTCCGCCTTTCAAGTTTCTATTTTTTCCTTATTTTGTTTTCCTTATTATTAGTCTCATTAGTGGAGTGCCCAGAGACTTTTACCTCGGAATTCAATTACTGTCAATGTATTAATGTGAAACCTTCTGTATTGTGTTTTATAGATAAAATACTAAAATGTTTACCCATATTTTTTCGTTGCTTTAATTTTTTATTTTAGTAATTTTAGTAAATTCTGAATTATTTCCTTCTCTTAATATTTTGATTTTTTTAATTCTTTTTCTAAGTAAATTTATTGAAATAAATAAATCTAATACATAAGCTATACCTATTCCACTTATATTCTAATCATTGAAATTTTGATTGAAATTGAAGTATACAGGGTGGCGCGTCATATACGACGCGGTTTTTGCAAGGATAACAAAAGTTTGTATTGAAGTGAAATTTTCTGAGCTTATGTGAGTCAATTTAAAGTATTTTCTAAAATTATGTAGAGTTCTACAGGGTGTCCCCAAAAAAAAGTTACACATCAAAGTTTTGTTTTTTGTATTGGAACACCCTATATATTAATAGATTTTTGGATTCTAGTAAAAAAATAAAGGTTTGTTTGATTAGAAAAGTATATGACAAAAAATGTATAATTTTTGAAATACATTCACCGACACGAAAAATGGGCACCTTAAAACTTTGATGTATTTTAAAGAGGTTAATATATTTTATTTTAATAGGCCGATTTGATGATTTTTTAAGCAGTATGTTGCCAGATTATTTGACTTCTTAGTATCCTTTTCTAAATTAAAAATGAAACTCCCCATCTGTTAATTATACGAGGGAAAACAAAATGTTGATATTTTTGATGAAAGTTTGAAACACCCTGTGAAATATGTTAAAACAGCAAGAAATTTAAAAATTATTTTATCATCTAGATACATCCTTTCTCGTTTGTTTTTTGGTTCATCTCATTAGCTTTATTTTTGTTGGAAATATTCGGTTTTAAAGAAGACACTAACATTTTTCGTAATTTTTACAATAAGACCATGCCTTTGCTTTTAAGCCTAGTCAACACATCTAGTAAGTTCTGGTCCCGAAGCAGGCCTTCTTGACAGAAGATTTGCTTCATTTAATCTTCTTGTAGTCCGTTAGTTAATATGTACGGTTCTTAAGTACTTATACGTTGCAATTCGTTATCAATTTGAAAAGCTGGCAAACGGCGGTTTCTTAGCGATAAACTTACAATAAGACGATCGTCTCAATTAGAAATTCTCATACGAAGGTTACTGGACGTCTATATTGACATCCTCATTGACGTGGTCATAATTCAAAGACCATTTAATATACTCTATCTCTATGGTATTAAGGTATTTTTGAAACCAGAATTTTATAGCAAATTCACTAAACTCGAATAAATAAATTATATATATATTTGACTCACCCTGTATATCTATAAAAATATTTTTGAAATGTGAACTACTTACTATTACTATTATATATTTTGTAAAAGGTTTGGAGTGAAAATCTCAAATAGGAATCCTGATACAGAGCTTTTCCGGAAAACGGAGCCATCTTGTATGTATGCATTTGTATATGTGTGTTTATTTAAATACTAAAGTGAAAGCAACGAATTTAAATAGGTAAACTTTGTAATATATCTTATTAACAATACAATGCAAAAAGTTTTATAAAAATTCGTTCACAGTAAATGAATTGCGAGGTTTGTATCTCATAAGGGCTTAAAGCCACTCCACTACATATGTTTATACAAAATTAGAACTGAATTCTCTACAAAAAAGATCTCTTACAATTTTTTTGTAAACCTCACCGTTCGAAAATTATTAAATGTTGAAGTTGAAGGCAGATTTTAGTGAATCATTCACTCTAAGTTAGAAAAAATACAAACATTTTTTGTTTCAATGTATCCAAATATGCTTAGAACTAAAAAAAAATTGGAAAATAGTTTAAACATTTCTTTATTCATAGAAACTCAAATTTGTACAAATTCTCCTGAAACTCATAAAATAAATTGGAATTGTTCAGATTATTAATCAAAAACTGTTCAAATTATTGTGCATTGAAATTTGACGATGAATATGTTTTAAACTGTTAATTTAATCGACTAATCATAAGAAAAAAATCTGCCTTAAATAAATAACTTTATATATATAACCTTTAATAAATAATCAAACTTCATCCTTTAATAACTTTCGAACGGTGAAGTTTGCAAAAAAAATTGTAAGATATCTTTTTTATAAAGAATTCAATTTGAGACGAGATATTTTTTCCAAAGAGTTAATACCGAAATATAATTTTTTTTTCTAATAAGAAGAAAAAAATAGAAAACTAGAAGGCGGAGAGCCTTCCTTTTAAAACTAAGAGCTCGTACTTGGAGAGAATTTTTTTGAGGTGTCTACCAACCTTTTTTTCCGAGTATTAAGAGAAAAAAAAAATAGTCGATTTTTTTTAATCACCCTACTGCAGATCTAAAACTATTTTTGAAACCTCCTTGAAAGATTCACAATATTCTCACTTTAATTCACTTCCAGACACAATGTCTTTTCAAATTTGTACACTTTAACATAAAATCCAAAAATATAATCCGAATCTATCTAAAAATGGTGTCTTATGATGTCTATTCTCTCTCCTCGAATGCATGGATATAAAAAATTTACTCCTTTTCAAAATGCTTACTTCAACAAAAATAATTGGCGGATTCACCATTTTGTCAATAAAATTATCATTTATTTTAGTAACTTACTAACAATGGTGAGTTTTCTTAGCGAGAAACAACAGGCTCAGTATATATTTGAAATATATAACATTAAAAACCTGCAGAAAAAGTCCAACGAGTTCATATACGATAAATCGGGTAGTGCCCAATCGGACTACCAACCGTCAACTTTTGTGGAAATCACATTTGCTGGATCTAGCGTAAGTATACCTACTAAAATATTTAGCACTCTTTTTATTAATATATTTAAAAGAATATCTTATACTGTGACATTACTCTACTTTATACATATATTCTAATTATTTAGGTTAAAACAGGGATACAAAAGAATAATAGCAATCCAGTCTTCAACGAGAGACTAGTCTTAACAGATATGTTTCCACCCTTGTGCCAAAGATTTAGAATAGACATTCGAAATGATGATTTTAAAAAATCGATACATTCAACACATTTTCTCAATTTGGACAATATCTCTAGTGATACTGTTGAAGGTAAGTTATTAGAAAATTTTAGATTACGATATTCATTTTATAAAACCTACTGATTATACAAACCTCATTGTCTTAAATGTATATTTTAATACAATGCAACGAACATAGAGAGGGGGGCAACCGTGGTCAAAATTTTGTTAACCAATTAATGCCGAAACATTGCCAAATAGTGCCAAATAATGCTAGATATTTGCCAAATAATGTCAAGTACTGCCAATAAATTTCATTAATTTCCATACCAATCTGTTACAAAGATAATATACAGGGTGTTTCAAAAAACATTGAAGGCATGTGCCATCTTTAGTGGGGAGATTCCTGACGTAAAAATAAGATTTATTTTTCATATCAGCATAGGTCCGATTCGGCTTTCTTTCGTAGCTACAGGGTGTTAAAGTCTTAATAATCTTTCGATTATAATATCTTCCAAGTATTTTTAGTGATTCGAATGAAATTTTGAGGGTAAAAGATACTACAAGTGCTACATGTTTTAATGCTAAAAAAGTGTCAATAAATTCATCAGGGACGTGCATATGGATGATCACCTGAATATTTTTCGAAAAAAAAACTGTGCGCCACGGACTTTTTTCTTTTGATATCAAAATTGTGTAGGCCGTTTAATGCCAATTAAAATTTATCTCTTGATATTTTGTCGAATTCGGCCTCCTTAATGGGATAAACGCAATTTTATTAATCACAATAATTAATAAAATTAAAATAAAAATAAAATTTTACTTAATTTATTATTAAACATTATTACTATTATTCTAACCTACAGCAATTTCAAATAAAAAAATAATGGTATTTAAAATTTTTACAAAGAACCTAATTTTCAAAAGTTTTAACATCCTGTAACTCTAAAATAATAAATAATAATAATAAATAATGTTTATTGTGCAAATGTAAAAAAGTACAAACATATAACAAATTGAAGGCAATAATTAATCCACATTCCACAAAAAGGTTGGAGATTTGGTGTTACCCATTCTTCCACTCCACCTTATGAAAATTAATAAAAAAACAGTTTTCTAGACTTAACCTAAATACTACATTAAAAAAAATCAAACTAAAACTAAGATTCTAAACCTAAGGTATTAATTGAAATATGGTGACATTCCAGTTTTAGATCGTACATTACTTTTAAACTGTGCCAAAGGCAAACTCAAGTCATCTATAAATTTATTTAATAAGGTAGGAGCCATATAGGAAAAACAATTCTTATATTTTGATGTAGTGTGTTGAGGGACTGTAAAATAATTAACTCTGATGTTGACACTATGAATTTGAGATCTGTTAATAATTAATTTTATTAAGTAAATGGGGATTTTATTTTTAAATATTTTATATAATAACATTACATACAAATATTCCAATCTTCCGCGCATTTCTGGTTCCTTTAAACGTTTTAGGTGAGGACTAATATGATCTCGATAAGATAAATTGCACACAAATCTCATACCGGCGTTCTGGATTCTTTGTATTTTTAGCTTATTATATTTGGGTAAGAATGCATAATATACTTGGCTGCAATAATCGATATGAGGATAAATCAGACTTTTGACTAGATGTAGCTTAGTAAATTCGTCAAGTTGTTTCTTAAGAGAATATATTGACTTGAGCTTAAACATGGACATTTGATAGACTTTATTACACTGATTCGATAAGCTCAAGTCATTATCCAAATCGACACCCAGGCTCTTTGCACTGGTAGTCCATTGAAGTATAACATCAATATTTAAATTTAAATTGGACGTAACATATGTGTTAGTTTTTTTATTGCCAATACAAAGAGCCATAGTTTTGGCTGGATTTATTCTCAATCCATGCTCACTACACCAGTCTGAGAACATGCGAATGTCGTTGTTAATAACATCTATAGTGTCCCGAGCCCCCTCAATGGAACAGTCTAGATACAGTTGGACATCATCTGCATACATGTGTATATGATACTGCTTAACTGCTTCAGGCAAGTCAAAAGTATAAATCAAGAACAATATAGGCCCCAAAATGCTGCCTTGCGGTACGCCACTAGAAGTTTCTCCCAATTCAGAATACGCATTATTAATTTTAACTCTCTGAGTGCGTCCATAAATATAGTCTCTAAACCAAGCCCCAGCAACAGAGTCAAAACCAATGTATTTTAGTTTTGCCAAAATTATTTCAAAATTTACCAAATCAAAAGCTTTACTTTGGTCCAACAAAACCAAAATTGTACTTCCTGACTTATCCGCCGCATAAGCAATGTCATCAACTACCTTAAGAAGTGCAGTAGCCGTATAATCCAGACTGTTCCATTGGTAGGATTTTATTTGCATTCAAAAACTGCGTAATCTGTTTTGAGATGATTCGCTCCAGCAGCTTCGACATGGCAGGCAAGATGTTAAGGTCTTAAATCACTGAAAGTTGAGGGACAAGATTTCTTTGGAATTGGAACAATATTTGCAGTTTTCCATATACTGGGAGAAATACCGCTGCTGATAGAAGAACTGAAAATATTTTTTACAACATTAATGCAGTACGGTATCACAATGTTAATCATGTTTATATTAATATTGTCAAAACCATATGATGCAGATTTAATGGACCTCAAGCTACTATAAATATCACTTTCCGTTACAGGGCTAATGCTAAATACATTGTTTGTGTTAAGTTTGTTATTTCTGTAATAATTTAGTATATCAGCACTAATATTAGAGTGATTTGTAATATTTAGGAAATAGTTATTTATTGCGTCTGAATCACTCAAATCATCAGGAAACTTATTGTTGGAACACTGTTTGGAAGCCAAACCACATTTGCGTAAATTATTCCACAACATCTTATTATTGTTTTTACTTGCATTTAGAACATACTTAATGCACGCATCTTTCTTCTTTTTTAATTGCAGTTTTTAAATAGTTTCTCAAATCAACATAATATTTCCTTGAGGTTATCGATCTTTCTCTAAGATATTTATTATAAGCTTTTTTCTTTAGTTTTATTATTTCTTTAATATTGTACGTAATATGAGGTTGGTAAGGGCGTTTAAAATTGACCACCTTTAGCGGTGCGTGACTATCGAATAATGATAATATTATATTATTTAAGCACTCCGTTTTTAAATTTACATCTGCTAATTCATTAACACTGTTCCAATCCACTGAAGTTGCGTCACAAGCAAATGCATCCATGTCAAAGTTGCGGAAGTCTCGATAATAAACACATTTAGGAATCATCATATCAACATTCAAACTTAAAGAACAAGAAACGAGCATATGATCAGTATTGCAGAGCACATCTCGGGTGTCCGATTTATAAATTTTTAAATCCTTGCTTACACAAATTATATCAATCAGTGATTCACTTGTCTCCGTTATTCTAGTGGGTTTATTTACGATTTGAACTAAATTAAATCCATTTATGACCGAATTAAACCTACTTGCTGAATGTGAGTTTGAATCTAAAAGATTAATATTTATATCCCCCATTAAAATAATAGATTGAGTTTCTTAATAAGTAATCTCAAGCGGCTCAAATATTTCATCTATACAATTTATGCTTACGCTAGGCGGCCTATAAACCACTCCTCCACCAATTTTTTTACTTTTCACACTGATAAGAACCCACAATTGCTCAACTCCATCATCACTAATATTTGAATAAAGAGTCTTAATTCTGAAGGAACTTTGGTACACCATTAATATATTTAATAAAAATATTCTGCTCGCCATTTTGTTTCCTTGCTAACAATTCTGTACGAATTTTTTGATAATATTCTCTCTGTATTTTCTTCTGATCTGTAGTAATAACAACGCTTTTATTTCTTAAATCCTTTTTACATCTCAGCAAGGTTAGAACATCATCCGTTGAGGATAGTCCCACACGAAGAGGTGCCGGTTTTTCATTTTGAGCATTTCCTAGTCGGCCTGTAGTTAATTCTTCAACTCTTACATCTGTGTAATGGATTTGATTATACTTATTACGTTTTGGCGGTCTGAAACATCGGGACTCACAGTGAGTCCATAGAATATCACATTTTTTGATCTTTTTTGACGTTCGGATATTTCTGACATTAACTTTTCATTTTGTTCTTCAGTATTATTAACTCGATCATTTTGGAGCTGAGTTATCTGTTGTTGTAGCAGTTTAACTGTTTCTTGTAGTGTTTCAATGGCCTTTATTAAATTACTATTATCATTCTTCTTTTCGGCGCACCCGGTACATCTCCAGTTGCACCCATCAACACTTGATAAGACATCAAACTGGTTTTTAGATATATTCACGCACCTAATGTGATAAAAATGTTCACAAAAACAACATTCCAGTCCGGGCGAACGCTGACTGAGTGCCGAATTGCAGGTATGACAAATATTTTGCGGCATTATTATTATTTTATACGATTAAATAAACTTTTATCGGAGCAGAACAAATACAAAAAAAAACTCTATGCATTTCCATACCCATGTTTATAGGAACTTTTTTCAAATTTTTTGATGGGGAATCAAGGAGTACTTATTTAAAACTTTCGCCAGTTAATGATATTAATTTTTTTTAAAAGGTTGCTATTAGACTTGGATCAAGGCAACGCCCAGCAATTACCTCCCCGTGGTGAGTTCTGGGTTGTTAACAATACTGAATACATAAAATATTGTTAAACAAGCGAAAAACTGCTCTAAGTACTCTGCTCGACACATTTTTAACTCTTTGTTAAAGTGTGTAAATATTTGGGTATTTATAAAAAAATTGTTTGACCTTGGTACATAGGGTACAATGACTAGGGGGGTTAAAATGTCATATTTCAATAAGATATATTATTTCTAATTACAAAAATTACTTATTACCTGAAACTTTGGCTACAAATCAAAATTTTATATTTTTGTATTTTTTACTTTTTTTAAAGCCCGGTAAAGCGCAGAAGATGAAAAAAAAAATTGAAAAACTTTAAATAATCTAATACCAAACTTTTGCGCAGTATTCCAAAACGATTTTCAAAACTTCGATTTTTCGATCCACCATATTTAACA